GTCACAAAAGAAATAAAGTATAAATTTAAATAAAGCTGTCTGCCAAGACTTTAACCTTTACGTTCTGCTGTCTTGAATAAATATATAAGCAGCATCCATTTTTAAGAAAAAAAGCCCACATAAAAGTGGGCCTACGAAACAGGTAAACAACAATCACAAAAAAAAAAAGAGGTCAGCCTGAAAAACTAAGTACATCAATAAATTTATATTAAATAAAAAATATAAATTGCTCTCTATTACTTAGTCTATTAGTCTTCGCAATATCAGAATCATTTTTCTCATATCTGTCATTTGTTGTGAAAAATTGATCAGCAAAATATTATGGTTGCAAAAAATCCAGACAAAAAAAAAATCTAATCTATTAGATGTAAAACATACATTGAAATTTTTTTTTTTTTTTCTACCACAGCCCAACAGATGCTGCTTCTGTGTCAGGGTATAAACGGCACAAGGGAGGACGGACCTGCTCCCCACAGCTGGAGCCACAAACGCAGTTACTCAGGTGAGCGTGTCAGAAAGTCAGTCACTAAGCAGTCCACAAGTCAAATCCAAAGTGAATTAAGCAATCAAAATTAAACAGATCTGGTCGACATTTTTCGCCATATAGATTAATTTACACCCATCATCCTTAATACAAACACATTTTTGTTCACTACTTGTTCCATTTCCTCTTATTATTTCCCTCAAAACAAAACTGCCATAATAATATGAAAAAAGACAGAAGTTCCTGGTGACTTTTCTTTCAGCTTAAGCTTAAAACTACAGGTGATAGTTATGTAAAAGGTTGTATATGTAGGTCAGAGTTTACAGTTAGCCTTACAGAAGGAAATATGACAACTAGAGTGATTACAACACCATTAATAATGTGTTCTTACTACCTCAAATATAACCATTCAGTTCATATTTCTGATTCACGTCTCAAGATGCCCACATGCATACGCCACAAAAGCTTAGCTTCAAAGTAAGCAAATCAAACACTTGACATCGAAATGTAGTAAAAACTATTTTATTTATTATCTGTCAATATGCATCTACACACATTTACAATACACAATAGCAAATAACAAACAATGCATATGGTTATAAGCAGATTGTACAAAAATATGCAAAGTGGGTTCAATAATATAAAGCACTCACTATGCTGTTCATTTCGATAGTTTTCCACATTACCAATTTTACAAGCAATCTTCATAACAAAAAGCATGCAAGGACATCATGTTAAAATCTACAAACTTAACAGGCCTTAAAACAAAAACGTCTAGAGCAAATGAGATCCAAAACTACTAGCAGACCAAATATTTACGACCCAGCGGAAAAGTTCCTTGCATTCCAGAGTTCACGTTGCATAGCCCATATTACACAATAATAATTAATTTCAGTGGCAAAAAACAAAGTGAGATTATAGAATGCCCAAGGGAATGCTCACATATTAAGTTCATGTTGTTCGTTACTCAGCACTTTACCTTACAAAAATTAATCTCCTGGAGACCAAAACATGCATCAGAGACGATATATGCAAAAATATAGACTAATATATGTGCTAAAAAATAACGTTTTATCCCTCACACAAACATCGAGGATTGTGCTCGCTAAACCAGCGTTAGCTGATCTCTGAATACTTGAGGTAAATTATGGTCTTCAGTTAATCTGATGGGTCATCTAAAATACTTTAACTTCTCTCTCTTTATCAGGTGTTCTTATGAGTTGATGTGTCTCAGGGGATATCGCAGTAACTACTGTTATAACCGAATGAGTAAACTCGGGGAGCTTGCTAGACTTATTTTGCGAGTGTATTCTGGAAAACACGACGCCTGACGTGCGTTTGGACCTGCACTGACTGTTCGCGCTTGACAATAAGAAAAAAATGTTAACTTGAAAGAGGAAGAGAATATGCTCAAAGCAGCAAACAGACGTGTCATCTCCTCCTCCTTATGCTTTCTGACAGATGCTTTTCAAAACCACCGCATGGCCACTTTGACAGAATAAAACATGTCCACATCTGCATCGTAACTTAAAAAAAAAGATGAGTAAAACTTTGAAGAGAGTTACGACAGATGAATATCAGAAATTCTTTTTATTCTCCAATATTTTGCGGTACCTCTGGAAAAAAAGGCATTAAAACTACTACAGGTTAACTACTGTGTGCCCTACAGGCTAATAAACGGAGGCCTGGGGTTAACTAGAGATGCTAATATGTCGGTTTTTGCAGCTTAATTTCAGTTTTTAAAAGTTTCGACGCTTTAAGAAGAATATATTATAAAAACAAACTAGCAAAGACCGTTCACGAGCAAACAGTTTAACGCAGTTAACGCGCATATAAACATATATTGAATATCCGTGGGCCTAAACAACAAGTGTTTGTACGAACTGCTGTTTTTAGTATGCTGCTGTCATCGAGTTTCAACGTGAGGGATATGTGACACTTCACGGAATGTAAAATCAGTTTATACAGATCGCGTGGCTTTACAAATGTTGTTTGGTAAAGCGGAGTTGTACGCAAAATAAGATTAATTGGTCAGTCAGTTGTTGCCTCTGTCACTGCATTCATCAAGAGACCAGCGCTCGCGCGTCACTTGACAATTAGCCCGCACAATTCCGAAACGAAGCGTCAAATAAATATTAATCAACATTCCTCTCGAACACAATTGCCTAAACCATTCGAGAGCAGTTCGTGCTCATAGCCTACCGGTTATATGGACGTGACAGACAAACCACGACGAGCACAAAGCAGTTTAAATCGAAGTTACAATTTTCTAAAAATAAATTAACGACATTCCAGATGCGAGAAAGCCGGTATGCAAGCACAATGTCTCAATGTTCATGTATGTAATCCCAATCAGACAAACCCTTGTGCCCACTGGCCGGCTGGTCCACAGATTTGAAGAGGCAACATAATAGAAAAAAGGTATCAAAAATAACACAATAAATAAACAAAACGTGTCCGTGTGAATAAGCGCTCCAGATATGTTCTGTAAAGACTGGGTTATGGCCGTGGGTTTAATACAGTGAAAAGCAACGAATGGACACTTTGCTTATGTCATGGAATAGCAAATTAGTTCTGAGTATTTTGAGGCTGGGCTAAAAAGACAACGTACGTAAGCCACTTTCTCTCCCCACGTGACCGTCTCTGTCTGGACGCGTCCATTAGAGAGGAGGAATTAAACACCGAGTGCCACTATTTTTCTCAATCGTTACGGCAATATAATGATTTCGTTTACATTTAAAACGTCGTTTACATAAACATTATGTTTTGTTATTAAAGTGCAGTGATGTGAAATCATGTTTTTAGCAATAACCGAAGAAATGCAAACTTAAAGCAAAACACGACACTCCCCTGCCCTCTAAAAATGGTATGGTCGCCAGCTCAAATTCCGAGAATTGAGCTCTTCTGATTCTTAGAACTGGGGTTCTTAGAAGTGGTGATGCAAGAAGTTTCTAGGAAAGCACTACCAGGTGATTTTTTTACATTCTTTTCCACTGGCGCGCTGCTGCCATTAGTCACACATGTTCATTAGGCTGTTTTATTGGATTTTATGGTTAAATGTTTATTTCGGCTGATTTTGAGGCGTTTTGTGGAGTTTTCAGGGCAGATTGTTAATGCAGTGGGTCTGTCTGGTAAAAATAGTTTTGACAGTTCAGGTCGTCCTGCATGAACTACACTGCACTGTCAGTCCTCACTGCGGGATCGTGGGGTCGTAAATAGTGTGTGCAGAAGAGGGGTGGAAATTCAGACGCAGTACCAAAGCAGCCAAACTAGACAAGCTCTAGAGTTGATTAAATAGCACTTGGTTGATACGAATATAAACCAGGGTTTGTGTACTGCTTGGTTAAATATAAAAACAGAATCGTTAGCGAAGACATCCGAAAATTAATTTCACTCCTTTTCTTTAATCAGCGCAGGTTTTTAAAAGTAGTTCAGAGCCCGGAGTTTGTACTCTCGCTCGCTCTTTCTCGTGACGTTTTGGTTTTGTTGTCCTGTGCCAAAAGCGTGTACTTTGTGTTTGCAGTTTGTTTGTGTTGGTGTAAATCACATCCTAATAACCCTTTCTGATTTGGCTGTACAGCTGTTGAGCGCATTTGCAATTTGTCTTTATTTTTTCCGAAGCGCAGAGACTCAATGTCATCTTTGAAAATATATTAATGTTTATGTCATGTGAATTGTCGATACGATTTATAAAGGTTCCAGAGAGTTTTACATTGTTGCATTTCACGTGTTCCAGCAGTAGAGATGCAATAGAAAAGTTTGTATCGTTCTGCAGTAGCTGTCACTTTGTAGCAGGACCAGCCTGCACGAGTTTCTCTCAGCTATAGCTTAATGTTTTTTTTCTGTGCGTATATGTGCCAATTCTCACCAATGTGTTCTATTCATTTTTAGAGTACGTTTCAATGCGTGTGTTTGTGTCAGAGGCACCAAATAGATACTAAAAATGCAATGTATATGTATAAACAGGTATGGACTATATTTAAAGTGCTGTTTGGCATTGAGCGAACGAGTGCCTCATAAATCTCTGTCCGTTCTTTGCGTGTTGTGGCGCGGTCTCTATTCGGGGAGTGAGCACATTTATTGGCGTTCAGTTACATAGGATAAAAGTGTTAAATAAGATTTAGGCTAGCACTTAAGACGGAAACTAAGAACGTGAGACGCGAGAGCTTAACAGCGGAACGCGTGTAGGCTACTCTTGACACTTTTCTGTGTTCGTGAGAAGTTGGCGTTCTGTTTACCGTCATGGTGATTTAAGAGCGCTCAAATGCCGATGAATCTGCTAAATATGACTTGATACGAGAGTCGCAGGTGTTGTCAGTGTCGCTTAGTACCGCTGAATGACAAAACGGTCTCTGGGTGACATCTCGTGGAAGATAAACTTTACATTTCTAAAATGATGAAAGTAGTTGTGGAGAACGTGAATGTGCGGTTTTAAAAGTTTAGGTTAAATTGTCAAAAACATTGTAACGTGCTGGAGTTTTGCAATGTTTTGGTGGTTTCCGTGCGTCATGAGCGTGTCTTTTTTTGTTTGTTTGTCCACTCGTTAAAATCCCGATCCCCTCTCTCGGTCATCTGGGTGTTTCGCCTCCTCACACAAGAGCATTACAAGAGTCACGGGCTGATTAAGCTGCTTTGGCAGCATGACAGCTCGCGGTCGGGATATTGATGTTATGTAGTCTCAAATGGAAACAGAATCTCTAATACTGAATGTTCAACATCTGAGAAATGTTCGCCTAACTATTTAAAGGCGCTCAGTGAAACTATATTTGTGTCAAGGCGCCAGATGTGACTGGGAGAACCGTCTGAGGTGATTGGTGGAGTATATCAACGGTGGAGAGAAAAACACGTGTGAGGCTATCACAGAATTAATCCATTACAAAAATAAACTCTTCTGCTGTATTACCATAATTCTTCGGCTGTGTTTGTTGACTATTCCACTTTGTCTGTTATTACACCCATCCCTCAATAGTAAAGCGTATCGGTCCACAGAACCGCAATAAACAGCCTAACGACATTTTCCCATGACTCATTCGAGTTTTTTTTCTCCAAAAATAAAGACTTTAAACTCGCAGGGAAAGAAGCAATTTTCTTTGCAAGGCAAAAACTGTGTAAATGTGAAATTGGGACATACTAAGATACATATGCCTTTTTCCGTGACTAGCATTTAAACAAATTAACTTGATAAAAGTTCCTATAATGCTGTCACACAATTTTATGTAGGATGAATAATGACTCTCAGACCTGACAGAAGTACTGCACGTGGATGGATGTCAGTTCTCTAAACTTTCATCATTTGTCGCCCCCTATCGGAGATGGGGGAGAGAAACAAGGCAGCATTTTTGAGGACTATACATATAATTGATTTTTCAGATTAAAGGGATAGTTCACCCAAAAATGATTAGTCTGTCATCATTAACTCTCCTCCCTGTTGTGAAAAATCAGAATGACTTTCTTTCTTCAGTGGAACACAAAAGGAGATGTCAGGCAGAATGACAGCCTCAATCCATTCATTTTGAGTATATGCAAAAATATATAAATAAATAAGTTGCAATGAAAGTGAATGGCGACTGAGGCTGTCATTCTCCATAGCGTATCCTCTTTTTTTTTTTTTGTTCCTTTGTTAGAAAAAGCAGAGGAGGTACGCAATGACAATTTGATGCATAACAGGAATAAAACTATTTTTAATAGATGTTTTGACATACCTTCCCAAAAAAGGGGGGAATCATCAACTTTGTAAAGTTTTTAAACGCTAATAAAAGCTTTAATAAATCCTGTGATGTTAGAATATTACCCAACTTTTCTTATTTTACTGCATGTTGTTAAGTGAGTGTCGATTGCATCATTCACAGTTCTCATTGTTTCCTAACAGATCTAGAAAAAATGGCTTGTGCAGCCGACAGCTGCATCCAATTCACGCGTCATGCAAGTGATGTTCTGCTCAACCTGAACCGACTGCGTAGCAGAGATATCCTCACAGATGTCACGATTCTGGTCAACAGACAGCAGTTTCGAGCACACAAAACAGTCCTTATGGCATGCAGGTACAATTGAAGGCTGCTTGCTTGTTATATACTTTGTCTGTGGTGGAAATGTGTTAAAGTGCGACCTAAAAAGTTGACTAAAATCATAATTTCTCCACAGTGGGCTCTTCTACTCTATCTTTACCGATTCACACAAATGTAACCTGAACGCCATCAGTCTGGACCCGAAGGTCGACCCAGAGGGTTTCGCAATCCTTTTGGAGTTCATGTACACTTCACGTCTCGCACTGAAGGAGAGCCTCATCATGGCCATCATGAACACGGCCATCTACTTGCAGATGGACCACGTTGTTGACACGTGCCACAGATTCATAAAGTCCAGGTATATTTTCATTTGTAGATAAATTACACTCTTTAAAACACAGCGAGTTAAGTGGAGACAAAGTGCCATACTTGAATGCAAAAGAAAAACAGTTGTTCTTTAATTTGCATCATATTTTTCTGCAGCGATTCCTCCATCAAACTTCCCAGAGAGGACTTTCTGGTCAGCCCCCTGCTTTTACCTCAAGACATTCACAGTTACAGACCCCATGAGGTTATGGATAATGTGTCAGGACGATCAGCAACTTTCAGAGACGGGAGACCCTATGGTGTCTGCATGTTTAATGGGGTCAATGCTCCTAACAACTCGTACCTTTATGGCCAGTTTCCCATGCAAGGCTTCCCCTTTCCTCTTTGCAAGCTGACAGACACTAAAAACACTTTCTCAGACTTCTCAAAGGGAGGCATCATTCATCACAAACACTGCTCGCCGAGTGACGGTAACAACCCAGTGCTGAATGACTTCACCCGCAGTGCTACCAGTGGGAGCTCAGCTGTTTGCCACACCGGGTCATACTCCTCCAGGGAGCTGGGAAGAGATGAAGATATGAAGAGGGAGACGTTGGAGGGCGTTGTCCATTCGATCGGGATGAGCTCCAGGAAGCACGGCTTCATTAGCCTGGCTCAGGAGCAGCAGAGGGAGAGTGGGAAAGAGCAGAGTTCCCTAGCAGAGGAACATTTGAGCCACCAACACTACTCCATGGGTATATCCTCTAATGGGCGCAAAACCTTGATGAGCAGCCCCCAGAGCCCCCTCAAATCAGACTGCCAGCCCAACTCTCCAACGGAATCAAGCAGCAGCAAAAATGCTGCTCTCGCACAGGCCTTGCAACCTCCAACTTCTCAAGGTACATCAGATCCTAAAGCTCGCAACTGGAAGAAATACAAGTTCATTGTGCTCAATCAGAGCTCCAAGGAGGAGGAGACCAATCCTCCTGACCCTGGAATGCACTCCCCACAGAGGCCGGGATTGTCTGCTTTCCTTCACCATGTTGACTCAGAACATCCTGACTCAAAAGTGACAACAAAGATTAGCGAGCAGGGCGAAGACTTCCCTGCGCCTCAGGCCAGTCGTCTCAACAACATCATCAACAGGTGAGGTTGTCTCTAAATCTCTTAGCCTAAAAAGCTTTCAACCTACAGTTGGTTTGCAGAATTCAATTGGGTGGTTTTGTTTCTAATTCAAGAAAGTTTGAAACTGCAGGTTTGTTGAGTATTTTGTAAAACGGTTCTCCACCCACCATCTCCACAAAGCCAGATTGAATTTCCTTCATCCATTCCAATCCTCTTAAAGCACACAGAGGATTTACCTCTTAGCTGGAATGTGTGAAATTCATTCAGTATCCTATAAAAAATTAGAGTAAATTCCACTGCAAAATGAGCTAAAAACATGGCATTTTTCTCCGCAGAAGTCTGGAGGGATCTCAGAGGAACATCGACAGCCACTCTTCTCTCTATATGAACCATTTGAAATGCTCATCCTGTGGCTCCCAGTCTCCACAGCACTCTGACGTCTGTCCCAACACATCCGCCTCGCGTCTGGCTGAGGAGATGTCCGAGATGCACTCCGAGTATTCTGATTCCAGTTGTGGTAAGACACTTTTTTTTTTTTTTCTAAATAGTTTTCTAAAAACCTGTTTGCATCTTCCAAAACCAACCCAAAACATTTCTCTGCCTCACAGAAAATGGAACATACTTCTGTAATGAATGCGACTCCAAGTTTGCAGAGGAGGAAGCCTTGAAACGCCACACGCTTCAGGTCCACAGCGACAAGCCATACAAATGTGACCGTTGCCAAGCAGCATTCCGCTACAAGGGAAACCTTGCCAGTCACAAAACAGTTCACACCGGTAAAAATAAACAGCCGCTGCTACAAATGTCATTTTGGCTTCAGTGTTCGATGTTTTGCTTAACCTCCTTTCATTTGTGCTGCAGGAGAGAAACCGTATAGATGCAATATCTGCGGGGCCCAGTTCAACAGACCCGCTAACCTCAAAACCCACACACGAATTCACTCAGGAGAAAAGCCATACAAGTGCGAGACATGCGGGGCTAGATTCGTGCAGGTGAGTCCTTTTGAGATGCAGTCAATTGCTTAGACATAGCAGAAGTCATTTGGAAGAATAACATGACCTCTTTGAACAGGTTGCTCACCTTCGGGCTCATGTTCTGATTCATACCGGAGAGAAGCCATATCCATGCGAGATCTGTGGTACTCGTTTCCGCCATTTGCAGACGCTGAAAAGTCACCTGCGGATACACACAGGAGAAAAGCCCTATCATGTAAGCATGTACACAGTGAGATCATTAGTATATCTATAAGATAAAGTACAAGCATTTATCCATGCCTTACATTGCTATTCTTTTATTTATTTTTTTAGTGCGAGAAATGCAACTTGCATTTTCGCCACAAGAGTCAGCTGCGGTTACACCTCCGACAGAAACATGGTGCCATCACCAATACCAAGATCCAATATCGCATGTCCTCGACAGAACTACCAACCGACCTGACAAAGGCATGCTGAGCAGGCACTTATGGGAAGACCTGACCATGGCATTATATGACCTGACTTGTACAATCATTCAAAATTTTAGTGCCACACTGTGTCAATCGGACAAGGAGAAAAAAAAAAAAAAACTAACTGGCATTAACTGCCAGTCTAAACGGGTTTCCTCTACATTTGAACATAGAACCACAATATGGTCTCTTGTAGTCACTTTATTGTTTATATTTGCATATAAATATATATTGATGTTGAGAGTGTTTTTACATTTTGAGTTATAAAAAGCTTTATTTTGTTGGAAGAAGGATGGAATGTAAAACATTTAAATCCGGTTTTTGAAAATACAGTATTTTCTAACAAAACAAAAACATACTTTTATGAAGGTATGGGGGATTTTGATTGAGGTTGGAATATTTTTCGTCGAACATTTCTTGCAAAGCAAAGAATTGTGTGTCTATAGATTTTTATATATATATATATAAATGTACAGGTTACACTATGTTGGAACGGCCTCTGTCTTGTAAGAGGAACTCCTAACTGTGACTATAGCATTGAATATCTTACTTTGTTTTTGTTGTGTACTTTCGAATGATGGCTGCTCTCTGAAATGGGAAAACATGCATGAGGTGGGTTGCCACTGATAAACTTTCACTATGTAGGCAACTGCATAACTATTGTGACAAAATGTAATTACTTCACATTAAGATCGCTCTCTGCTGGCAGAGCCGATCTGACATGGTGACATATGCATTCAGAAGTAATAATTATGATGATGATTAAAAAAAAGAAAAAGGTACTGCTATGTTATGACCAAGGAGATATTTTGCTTTAGATGTATTTGTATAGAAACGTGACTTTTTATTTCATTTGGCAAGTGAAAGTTTACAGTTTTGTCATTGTTCTAGAAGCTACAGTAAAAGGTTATACTATTGTCTTTTTTCTTTTTGTCTGTGTATACACTGTGTACTCAAGGTGCCTTTCTCAACGGTGTCTGAATTTCTTTTCATTCAGCCCAGCTCTATTAAGGTACAACTGAAGGGCAACACATGTCCTTATTTTCCCTTTTTGAGTGTGTAGACATGTGAGAATGTTTTCATGGACAGAAGGATGGGAGGCGCGAGTGTGTGTGCATGTGTGCTTTATAATTGCTTTTCACACACTTTAAGAAAAAAATGCAACTCATTGCGCGAGCTATACATTTTCAGGACTTGTTTTGGGATTGGGCTTTTTTAAATAAAAAAAAAATGCATTAAGCTTATTGTAAAATATAAATGTATGAATGTAAAATAAAAGTATTGGATTTCTATGTCTAACACTTGTGTGTAGCCTGTTTACTATGGACTCTTCAGACACCATAGCTATTTCCGAAATAGCCACATATACCCTCATTCACAATTCCCTAAATTACTGCACTAGTATATTGTAGTCAACATCTGAAGTAGATCTAAACTTTTTTTCAGAAGGACTGAAAGAAAACAAGTGAGTGAATTTGTGAGTGCACAAGAAGGGTGACATTATGTTGGTTAATAAAAATGAAAGCTGTCTATTAGTAATAAAAATTAGTTTGATTGCTTCCATGTATACAAATGTCAATTTCCTAATTCAATTATTTAGAATTCATTTTGTGCGCAAACTCTCACAGGGCTTTATCATAGATATATGCACTAGATATCGCATACGAACCCTGAGGACGCGTCAGTACCACCACATTTGTACAGTGCTCCCAGGACAAATGTCAATCAACTGCACTTAGTTAAGACTAAAGCCAATCTGAAGATGCTGGACTTTTGCACTGCGTACAAGTGTAGTAACAAGCAAACAAAGAATAAACATTTCAGATTTTGTTCATGATTTTGTATGCTATGAACTTTTGTGCTCAACAAGTAACCTTACTGATGATAATATAGTCTCCTACTGCCTTAATCATAAGGCAAAGTAGCACCAACTTGCACTACATTCTAGGCCAATGCTAGTTGTTGAATAAAATCAGCGAACAATGTAAATGAAATATGACAACAAGACGCTGCGGTGTCAGAAACATGTATTATTGTTAGCTAAGTGAAGTAACTGCTAGTTTTTGAAGTTACTTATAAGTGTACCTGATAATATAACAGTGCCTGTGCCTCAATGGGCATACTGTCCACCCTAAATTATTTAATATTGCAAATATTACAAACCATTTAGATCAGAAAGACAGTGATATTGGTGGTTCACACGAACCCTTAATAATAAATCTTCATTCACAAATTAATCGCTCATTCCATACATCCAAAAGTGATGTCAAATTCTAATTTTCATAATAAAAAAAATTTCATATTGACCACCGGGAAAACTCCTGATCGTAGATATATGTATAAATGTTTACCCATCTATGGCTCTGTATGGCCAGTCCTCCACTACACCTTGGTCTCACATTCATTTCAAATGAGCATTATACCCTATACTAAAATGGAGGCTCTATTGACACATTCCTTCCAATAGACAACAACACCGTAGGCAACATCTAATGTAAAGATCTATAGAGCATTATGAGTATTCTCTAGCCATTGAGAGTTATTGATGCAAATACTTAATCAGCTAATCACATGGCAGAAACGCATTTAGACATGTATACAAGATGAAGACAATCTGCTAAAGTCCAAAAAAAGCTTGAATGGGCAAAAAAAAAAGTGACTTTAAACATGACAAAGTTGTTAGAGCAAGTCACCTCGATTTGAGTATCTCAGAAACAACTTAATCAACTGGGATTTCAATGCTCAACCATTATTAGGGTTTGTACAGTTTTTACGTGCCAAAACTTTCAGTTAAACAAAGAGAAAACTTGAGTCACTGCATTTGGGAATTCTCAATGTGAATGCGTACCTTGGCTCTAGAGGTTAACCAACAATAAATAAGGTCAAGAATCTTGGTGTCTGGAGTCTGATATGAGATTCAGTAGTCATGTCAAAGCAGTAACTAAATTAGGATACTATCATCTTAAAAACATTGCAAGAATTAGATGCTTTGTTTCTAGTGAAGGCTTGTTAATGCTTTTATCGGTAGCAGAGTGGATTACTGTAATGGACTCCTCACTGGTCTTCCTAAAAAGACAGTCAGACAGTTGCAGCTCATCCTGAACGTGCTGCCAGGATTCTGACCAGAACCAGAAAATCAGAGCACATCACACCTATTCTCAGGTCTTTACACTGGCTCCCGGTTACATTCAAAATAGATTTTAAAGTATTATTACTGTCTATAAATCACTAAATAACCTAGGAACTCAATAAATTACAGATATACTCACTGAATACAACAGATCACTCAGATCTTTAGGATCATATCAACTAGAAATTCAAAGAGTTTAGTCAATGAACGGTGAATTAGCCTTCAGCTACTACATCCTCTGCTGCAGAATCAGTTTGCAGAAATGATCAGATGTGCCCCAAAATTACAAGTTCAAACCAAGACTGAAAACACATCGATTTAGCTGTGTCTTTACTGAATAAGCACTTTGTTACTTCCAACAGATCACACTATTATGTTTTTCTTTTCTTTTTCAGTGTTTTATAAACTGTTTAACACTTTTTAATCTATTTTTAAATCAAATTTATTGTGTTTTTATTTTCTTATAATCTTGTTTTTATTCCTGTTTATGTAAAGCACTTTGAATTGCCACTGTGTATAAAACAAGCAATATACAGTAAATAAACTTGCCTTGCCTTTTTGTGAAAATGCCTTGCTGATGGCAGATGTTAGTGTAGAATCCTGGAGGGCCGGTGTCCTGCAAAGTTTAGTTCCAACCCCAATCAGACACACCTGGGCTAGCTAATCAAGCTCTTACAAGGCTTTCTAGAAACATCCTTGCAAGGTGCATTGAGGCTTAAATTTGCAAAACACTGGCCCTCCAGGACCAAGATTGGACAAAACTTGGCTGCTACAAAACAATAGCAACTCAAATGACCATTCGCTACAACTAATGTTTGCTGAACAGCGTCTCTGAATACACATTGAACACTGAAAATGGGCTTTAACTGGCAAGAATTGGGGTAAAGCTACAATTCACACAGACTCGCAAACACTAGAAAATAAAAGACTGGAATAAGGTTGACTGGTCTAATAGGTCAGGTCACTCAAGGTCAGAAATAGCCATAAACAACATGGAAGAATGGATCCATCCTGCCTTGCATCAACAGTCCAGAATGGTAGTTGTGGTATAACTTGTGGAGGAAAGTGTCTTGGCATACTTTGGGCCCCTAGTATCAACTGAGCATTGTTTAAATACCACAGTTTATCAGAGTATTGATGCTTGCCATGTCCAAACCATTCCACTACGCCATTACACTTACATGTGCTCACCATTTCATTTCAATAACGAAACTTTAAGATGAACTAGCATCAAAGGTGTGTAAACAAATCTGTACATTTAATCATTATTAACCAAAATTTAATTTATTAATCTTGCATATTTCTAACAATTTATCCCTAAGAAAGTGGCCGGTGTGTGTATTTAGGGGCAGAATGAGCAAAAGAAAGACAGTGAAGCCTTTGTCAGCCTTATTTTTCTAATCCCATTCACAATTCTCCTTATATAATTTAATTATACAACATTTCTAACATCTGAATCAATTCAAAGTTCAAAGAAATACGTCATTGCGGATTATTCTCTAGTACATTTCTTTCTTGGCCTTTAAAATTATTTATTTATTACTTTAAAACTTTTTTTTTTTCCATACTTAGAATTATGGGTAGTCTTGTATTATACAACAAAGGCAGAATTGTTAGAGAGTCAAGGTAAAAAGCAGGGAACCAAATCGCCACAAGCCTGAGGTAGTGAAATGGAACACTGGAAGCTCCACACCTCTGTTGTATCAGTTCCTTTTAAAAAGCACTAAAGTATAGAGTAACACGACAAAAGAATAACCCACAGAAGCTTAACAGCTTAGTTTTCTGACATTTTTCATAAGTTATACATGTAGTCAACAAATGACAAGCAACTCCATCAAAAACACAATTACTTTTTTTATATATACATATATACACAAAAGACATGATTTTTCACTCCGCAACTACTGCTCAGATGGAAAGAGCACACATTACTATAGTTTGTACCATCTAAAATATATCATGTAATGTGAGATGTCATAGCAACAACAAAAAGCTTACGAGATGCATACAACACAAGGTCATATTATGCAAACCTGCAGTATAACAAAAGTTGATCAGGGGGTTAAGGGGAGGAATCAGAAATCTGCTTTACAAACCAAAGGTATCAGATCCTGTTGTGTTACACTGGAACAGGCCTGGGACTTTTTGCTTCCCTATGAACCAAAACATACAGCGTTTTAGCCTAGAATGCAAAAATACAACACGCACGTTTTTCCACCATGAAGGGGAATTTCCACTGACCTCTATTGTTTTTATACTGAGCCAATATAATCTAGCTGTTAGCTGTAGTTGTTTTAAGTATTGCTCTTTGGAAACAGGGCCACTGACATTTAAGGTTAACTAGTTATGAATTCTATAGCTAATAAAATCTCACTTTCTGCAATTTTACTATAGTCAATATTTTAAGGGAATCAAAACTTTAAAGAGTTTTCCTAAAACCATTGAACACCCATTCTCATCTTAGGATAACAAAATAATTCAATCCACTTCAATTTTGCATTTTTCAAGACATTTTTAATGCGTCTTCCACTTCTGGGTATACATTTTAACTAAAATAAGACTAAGCAGCACATATAGATGTTTAACTATATTAGTGAGGACATCTTAATCTTACCCTATATTGAACAGAACCCTTACAGAAATCTGGAAAAACACAATGGGTTTAATAAAACATGCTTTGACACTTGAAGCTAAGCTTGTCAGTGTTAAAAAGATCCAAAATGTCCTCACCATGTACTATGTAGAGTAAAACCTGTATTCATACACCAGTTACTCAAACTAAATATTGTCATGAAGCCTGCATTCAAAATTGTTTTGTGTTAGTAGGTATTTTTAATAATTAATTACTCCACAAGCACTTAAAAGAATATCTTTCTATATACACAAGAGGTAATGCGTGTCTACGAATGTATATTTGCCTACTTTTCAAATTTAGACTTCTTTCTTCACATTCTGCATTCACTGATGATT